AAGAGAATATTTCATATGTATATTATAACTTTCAACCATTATTTAATTTTTTTTTCATAATTATACTGCATACTGTACTTGCCATTATTATTCGTAAACAGTGATGCCCACTCTAGGGAATTGTCCCTAGTTCTAGGGATAAATATGGAAAAAAAAATTGTCTAGGGATATAGGGAAATTCTAGGGGTTTTCTGATATTTTTAATTTTTCTTACACAATTTGATTAATTCTGAAAAAATAATATTATAAATTCTTCAAAAAATCGAAAGTCACCTTATTATTGGTTCGTCTGAGTAATTTCATACAACATACACTTGGCCAATCATAAAACTGGTACGCTTTTCCTATTGTGTTGTATTGTGTAAATCGACCTTTTTTATCACCTCAACAATGACGAAAAGAGTCAAGTCATTGTCATATTTGAACCAATCATAACATAAAAATATATTGCATGTACTTCTGTTCAGCTTTGCCGTTGACAAAAACTGTCTGACCTACGTTTTTCAGAAGAGACAGACTTCTTGTTGTTAAGCCTGGCTCACACTAGGCAAATTTAAAAAATAGATATACATTGCCTGTACCAGTTTTATGTTTGGCCAAGTGTACAACAGTATCATTTTTGTATGTTGTAAAGTGCTCTTTGCCTTTTGTGTAGCGTGATGTGTGTGGGGATTCCTGCAACAATCGCGTCGAATCTGAATCAGGAAACAGTCTGTCGTCACTAGGTCTGTTTCTGCAGAAATCACAAACCAGGCAGAGCGAATTTCATTGGTTGAAAACAGTCAGAAACAGTCTGAAAACTAGTTTCAATCAATGAAATTCACTCTGACTGGTTTGTAATTTCTGCAAAAACAGACCTATTATCGCTGCCAGTGACATCATAACAATGTTTTATTACTTTTGGAAATTTTGTGTTGTTTTTTGAAAACTTGAGGATTAGTGCGATTAGTTATAAAATAATGATTTTTTTTCTTGTAAATTACAAGAATTACAATACATATTACAATTATTATTAGGCTGTAATAATAATTCTAAAATAAATTTGAAAAAAATTAATTCTAGGGAATTCTAGGGATATTTTTTTTTCAAATCTAGGTATTTTCACATCCCATCAGTTGGCAACACTGTTCGTAAATATTCCTGATATTTTTTATGGTGCAGCTTATGTACGAACTTTATTGAATTTTCCTCAATAGAAGTAAAGTTTGTTTCAATGTATACCTAATAAGGTTTTTCTATGACTACAGTGGCGGCTGCAGCCGGGCCGAAAATTGCCAACTTTTTTTTAATAATATGCGCCTCGGGCTTCAATTTCCACGAGAAAATTACTATTGTAGCCACACAAAAAAGAATAGACGCGTAACGTTTGGGTATGTTACAGGTAAATTCCTTACCAAAATTGGGCGTGGCTCCAAAATTTTTTTTCGCCTGTGGCGCTTTTTTTATCACCACTTTTTGTTGCCACAGCCCCCCCTAAACCAAAATCCTGGATATGCCAATGAACGAAACCGAACTCTGATAGCGAATTCCATTGGAAGGCTTAGTGCGCACTGAGTGTATTCGTGTCTTATTCTACCAGCTTGTATAAGAAAAAGATAAAATTAATTTTTTTTTGCACTGATTTTACCAATGGAATTCGCTATGGGATTCCCCTAAAACTTTTTAATTATAGTGAATTCTATTGGTAGAATTAATACAAAAAATGTATTTATCTCTTTCTTATGCAAGCTAGTAGAGAAAGACACGAATACACTCAGTGTGCACTATCCCTTTGAATAGAATTCGCTATAAATAGCATGCAGGCAATGCGGACATTGTGCAAACTAGAAAACCAGTTAGGGCCAGTTGCTGAAACGTAAAAATATAAAATATAGATATATTTGTAAGGTGTAGGGACATATTTTTTGTCCATTGCAACGATCTTGGGGGGGGTAATTACCCCCATTACCCCCCCCCCCCCCCCCCTTGTATACGCTGGTGCATCAAGGTGGTAAACTCGGTGGTAAAAGATTTAAACTCGGATTTAAATCACTTAGCAAAGGCATGCGAAAATCAAGGAAATTACTTCATGAATCATAATATCAGTCAAAGATAATTGTATTTTCGGAAGCTGTGAAAAAAAATTAGGGGCAAGCTGATTTTTTTAGGATTGTTTAAGAGGGGTGTCCTTAGTGTGAAAACACCGGAGTCAGAAACTTTCCTCTTCCGCGCCCTTGCCGCCCTTAACTATAGGGGTTGTTTCTCAACATTGTGCTACAATGGAATTTTTGGTCTCTAATTAGGCAATCCACAGATTAGGCAATCTAACAACCTGTCAAAAAAGGCGCCTGGTTGGCAAACAATAAACAAAAAACATTGTTTTCAAAGGTTCAAAGAAAAATGATAAAATTCTACCTGAATGTGACAGATTCAATGACGGATTAGTGATTAGTGGTTCAATGCAAACCATCCTTTGTTTGCCAACCAGGTGCCATGAAAAGTCACGTGGTTTGGATTGCCTAATTATAGATAATCGGATTCTCTACTACTTTTTCCCATCCTAACAAACCCGGGGGGCGGTTAACTCTGTTAAATCGGTGTACAAATGGACTTAAATCACTTTAAATCCCTTATTAAATCACCTAAATCATCTTGTTTTGCTCTAAATCAGATTAAATGAGGTTAAATCCCTTTAAATCTCTTTAAATCCCTTCAAATCTCTTTAAATCCCTCTCAAATCTTTTTAAATCAATTAAATCCTTAAAAATCTGAGATCCGGAACACTTTAAATCCCTAAATAAATTTCCTTAAATCACCTTAGTTTTTTCATAAATCATATCAAATCACGTTAAATCAGGTCAGATCAATTTAAATTTTCTTAAATCTCTTACAATCCCTTTAAATCTAGTTAAATCTGTTTAAATCCCTTTAAATCTTTCTATATCTCGTTAAATCTTTTTATATCTCATTAAATCTCTTTAAATCCTTTTAAATCTTCATAAATCTTCACAGGGTTGAAAAAAACCCGGGTTTTTTTTTGAAAAAGTCCAACCCGTTGGGTTTTTTTGGGTTTCTATGTGTTTTTTTTTTAGGTTTTTATGTTTTTTTTTAATATTTTGGTGCTCTTCGGGTGTTTTCGTTTTTTTCTTCAAATTTGATTTAAAGTTTCTGCCTCGGTTTCTACTCTAGCAAAAGTATTACAAAAATTATGACTTTTGTTACAAAAATAAAATATCCTTACAAGATAAAACAAGCCACTTGATATAGATAATTACACTTGGCATCAGTGCACTGCACCACACCTCTGGCTAGCCAGCTCAAAGACTCCGTGTCATGTAGAATTCTACATATCGACAGGATTCTATAGACTCGGCACATTGGATATGTTGAATTCTAAATTCTACATGGCACTGAGTCCCTGCCCAGACCTCCACGCCAAATGCCAACAGCAAACAGCCGGGGACTGGAGAATCATCGGGGAATCCCTGATATTTCCTGCGAAAATGATTTTCATTCAACTGAAAATTTGCTATTTTTGAAGAAACCCAATAATGGTGGGTTTTATCAATTGAAAAAATCCGAAAAACCCCACTGGGTTTTATAACCTGGGGAAATTCTATGCCAACCCTGAATCTTCATAAATCTCCATAAATCATTTCAAATCGATAAAAAAATGGTTAAAATCCCGCGCAAACTTTGGGTGACTCCAACTCGACAAACCTCGAGGTGCAATCACTTATATTCGTTTGCGGTTTGTGCATGTGTGTTTTTGTTGGCAGCACAGGAAGAATCATCAAATTTTTTGTGGATTCAAATTCAAGTTTTAATTATTTAATTGCATTGTGTACCAAGACTAGTTGACTTTGGTGGCAATTTAAGAACTGATAAGGTGTTCTCATTAGGGCTTAATGGCCGTCGTAAGTTGGAATTTCTTCCTAAGAAAAAGGAAGAAATTCCAACTTACAATGGGTATTAAGCCCGAATGAAAACACCTTATCAATAAACCTGGGCCGCAAAAGCCTCACAAACTTTATCACCTTTAGAATTTTTTTTATTAGTGCAAAATTTAAATTGGACTATTATGAGATCGAAAGTACCCATTAGCACTAAAATATCTGGTTATTAGATACATTTTCATCTTCTCGGGATTAAATTAATTACCTTGAATTATCTCAGGTTATATCAGTTCAAATCGAGGTTCAAATCTTAAAAAAATCTTTAATCCATTTAAATCTTCTTAAATCAGGTTAAATCTTCCTAGATCAGCTCAAATCTTTTTAAGTGATCCAATAAATCTTCAAATTACCTCAAATCACCTTAAATCAGTTAAGGTTTGAATAAAAATTTCTTAAATCCGATCAAATGTGTTAAATCAGTCAAAATCAAGAGCGATTTTAAATCGGTGTACACATTTTGAGGAAGTTGACCGCCCCCCGAACAAACCCTGATAAAAACACCCTTTTTGGTTTCATATGGAAACTGCGTGTCTGCTGGTAAACAAATACTTATTTTTTTTTTAAATGCCATAAGGGCCAAATTATGGACTGACTGGTAAATGTCTGGTTTTTACCTAGCAGGTACTTTCTATGCTCGAGATAATAGAAAGTACCTGCTAGGTAACAACCAGACACTTACCATTTGGTCCATAATTTGGCCCTAAAGAAATTATGTTAAATTACTTGACTGGCTGCTTATTCGTTCTAAAATCGCCATGCTCAAATCAACATAGTTGTTTTCCGAGAATAGTGCCTGATTAGGGCTTAAAGTAATGTTCTCGTATAAACTGGGCTGCAATCTATCTTATCATGATAGTAGAATGATAAGTGAACATTTTGCAGAACAATAACAAAATAAACTAGTAACCCCATAATCGGAATAGAAACAAAAACACTATTATTCCGATTATCTCCCTAGTCCCTAAAAAAATTAGCCTCATTCAACCACTTAGGTAATTCTCACATAATTAAACTATTGAAATGAAACTATTTTATATCGTTACATTGTATTTCCCAAATTCTTACCTTCATATCCATAATAATGTGTTGGAAAAGGCCGCCGAGGCCTGTATCCCTATCAATGGAAGTCTCCATGATAGATGTTTTATCCAGAGACAGTAAAAAGTAATCCAGGAATTCACAAAACAACTCCACTCACTTAATTATTCGATCCCCATTTTTTTTTGTTTTTGTTGACAAAATTCCATATTTAGTTAATTGAAGAGCAACAGCAAAGAACTAGATTAGAATTTCATTCAACACACAAGTCAAGGAAGGTACACTTTCTATTATAATAAATGGGTTTGTGATGGTTTTTTTGTAGTCTTCCGACCGCAACTATGTATAAAACTTACACCAATGGGTTTGGTAATGTTCGCGCCGTTCTTTTTCATTCATCAATTGTATCAAATTTCCGGATTAAGGTCGTTTTTGCTCGAAAAAATACTTCACATGACCATCAATTTGTGTATGATTCTAGCAATGTATTTTGTACACTTTTGTGTATTTCATTCTGTCTCTGTCAGTCTGTCATTTTTTTCACCCCCTCCATTTCCGGAACTAAACAAATCGTTTGTGGCACCATCTGTGATAATTAGAGGTAACTTCACTGTAGAGGTAACTGTAAGGTAATTTACAGTGACTGAATAAACCTTTACATACAAGGCAATTTTTCGCGAGGTTAACCAAGCATATTCTTTTGCTGGATTATGTGCTGTGTCATTTGTATCATACTCTCCTAACTCCCCCACTATCAAATTGTGGATACTCGAGGATCTAGGACACTTAATAATATCTTCTGTAAAAACCACTGATCTCAAAAATAAATGGATAAACAAAGAACGCTTCTAATGCTGCTAATTTACGAGGTCAAAATCTAAACAAAAACAACTGACTGGGACAGCTGTGAGCGTGCGCAGTAGATACATGTATTGTGCGTGCACAAAATCTGGCCAATGAAAATGAAGGCGTTTCAAAATTTAGAACAGTTGTTCGAAAGATAGGACACTGCGCAGGCGTTAGGCTGTTCCGTTGCACAACTGTTCGTAGAATATTGACCCCAAATTTTCGCACAAATCAAGCCGTATGAATTGTTTATCCATTTATTTTTTAGATCAGTGGTAAAAACAGACAGAAAATCACCTTTTCTACATTGAAAATCGACAAAAAAATCAACTCACTAGCCTAGCATAGCCTGAATCGCAAGCATTTCAACGAGGACTGCCTGTGACGTCATCATTATGAGCTGCTGATAGTAACGTCACTTGCAGGCCCAGAATTTGATAGAGAGAAAGTTAGGAGAGTATGACACAAATGTTACATCACAGAACCCAGCATAATCAGATTATGCTTGATTATCCTTGCGAAAAATTGCCTACAGTCGGTGAGTTCGGCTATTCAGCGCGGAGTTGGAGTGAAGTGAACAGAGCTAATGGAGTCACCCCTGATACCGTAAAAAGCAATACCCGAACCTTAACCCGAACGGCTGGAGTGCGAATGGAGTCACTCCGAGTGCACGGAGTGAGTAAGCCGAACTCACCAATAGGCGACAATAGAGATCCCGTCGCCATTTTGTGCCCAACCTCTTGGTACTTTTAAATATGAATATAAGATTAAAATTGACATCCATTATAAAAAATTGAAAACAACGTATTTCATTTTATGTACCCAATAATAGTCATCAAATACGTTGTTATAAATTTCTTCATTTAAATCCTATATTATTTAAAATTAGCAAGAAGTAGGGCATAAAATGGCGGCGTTTTCCATATGAATATATTAGGATTTTTAAGGACCAATCAAAAATAAGAGAGCAATAGGGAACTTGCACATTGAATAAAATATGTAATAAATAATAAAACAATAACAATCACCCTAATAAACTTATGCAATTAGGGAAAAAATATAATATCTTATCTCTGGTGTCCAAAATCTTCAATTGAAATTTACCAAATAATTCGAAATTCATGACGCGATCAAAAACGTGTTTCTATGGGTCGTAACGTCACAAGGCAGTAATAATCGGGTCGCACCGCTGCCACGTCATGTGCTGCTGGTGACGCCAATGTCAGAACTATCAAAAACTGCATACATAACAACATAACCATAATCTTAATCTACCTCTGCTGAAAGTTCGAAGTGCTCGTCACTGTCATCGGAATTTTGTTGCCGAGTGACGTCACACTAATCGGTCATAATGCTTGATATTTGGCATGACTATGTCTTTAGTGTAGTAGAACACATTTTTGAAATAAAAAAAAAAATGCAAGTTCCCTATTGTCGCCACTATTTTTAATAGAGTCACTGTAAGGTAACCACTGTAACTCATTTTACAGTGACTCATTTTACAGTGACTCTATTACCACAGTGGCGACAATGGTTGTCTTATTTTTGATTGGTTCTAAAATCCCATATATTGGGCGCGTTCTTTTATTCAGCAATGTATCCATCTGCTGCCATCATTATTAGACAGACATTCCTATTTTCTATGAGCTAGGCAAAGAAAGGCTGATTACTGATGGATCCGCCGCTGAATAAAAGAAAGCGCCTTTTATATTGAAAACGCCGCCATCTTGTTCCTATCTATTACTTATTTCAAATATGAATTAGGTGAACATCCATCATAAATCATGAAAAACAACGTATTTGATGAACCTAATAGTGGTAATCAAGTATGTCGATTTCAATTTTTTATGATAGATGTCCATTTAAATCCTATATATTAAAATTTTAAAGTAACAAGAGGTTGGGAACAAGATGGCGGCGGGACCTCTATTGTCGCCACTGTATGTAAAGGTTTATTTAGCCACTGTAACTCATTTCATTTACTTGCGCCATCTGTGGAAATTAGGACAATCTTACAAATTATTAGTGGTATTTTTTAATTTTAGATGCTACTTACTACTTACTACTTTCAAATTTTCAATTTTCAATTACTGCGTTTAATGCGCTTTGATCATCGCAAAACTCTATCATATTCACTTCAGCTAGGTCATACATTTTTTGGTCCGTGAGTAGCTTTCACTCCAATCTAGATATACCGTCGATTCCTTGCTTCATCGATTCGGAGGTCCAAAAATAACCGGATCTATGAATAACCGGTTTATTCACTTAACTTCAATCGGTATAACCGGTTATTCAGTCGAAAACGTCATAACCGGACGCAGGTTATTTTTTCTCGTCAAAAATCTGAGTTTTGATACTCATAATAAGAATAATAGGAGTCAAAATACGAAAGTGTTAACAAGTGTCAAGTCAAAATCGTCAAAACTGTTTTTCTAATTTCTATCAAGCTGCTGTATTCATTCACATTCACCAATGAACTGTATTGACAAATTTCTTACATCATATCTTAGCGCATTCACCATAATATCAATAATTTCAAAAAACCTGATAGCAGATAACCGGTTAAATTTACTTCGGTTAACCGGGCCGGTTATTTTTAAGTAAAATATAACGGGTTTAGTGAAAGAAGGATATTTTACTTTACGCCAGTTGAATATCCCTAGTCGATTTACTCGATTCTGACCATCATTGAATTTATATTCCGACACTTACACCGGCGTATCCAGCCCGTGCGTCTGGGGGGGGGTAATCAGCCCATTTTTTCCCGGGTGCCACGCCCAAAAACGTTTACTTTGAGCCTTCAAAAAAAAATTTTTCTACGAGAGTGAGGACAATTAAACAGTGCGGAAAATCGATTTACTCGCACGGTGCGGCGAATTTTTTTCCGCACGGATATCGGTGCGGAAAAATCTAAATCTTTTCCGCATGGCTGTCAAAAAAAAATCAATAAATGACTACAAATTATGTAGGTATATGCAAGGCAGTGTTGTCAATCTGAATTTGTGAAATTGCACGATATGCTGGTAAAATTACGCGTTTTTACACGCTTTCATTTTTCACAATTACACGATTTTGACACACGATCTTGGTAACCAATCTGTTATAACATCAAGAAGCAAGTATTTTTTTTTTGGGATTTTGGGAAATGGGTTAAATCGTAATGCCCGATTGCACCGTCTCTCTTAACCGAGGCTTAGAGATAACTATTCCTTAAAGTGACATTTTCCCATGTAAAACTGTCAATTTAAGGGATAGTTATCGTTAAGCCTCAGTTAAGAGAGATGGTGCAATCGGGCATAAATCCAGTCAAATCTGAGGGTTAATGCTCCTGATCATAATTCCTCAACGAAAAATAAAAATGTGGCAACTACAGAAAAGCGTTCTGAAAGTAATCGAATTACTAATTACTGGTTCCTGGAAAAGAGGTTACTTTTGTACCTCAGTTTCCTGAAAGGATACTACACACTACTACTATAGGATAGTCTATCCTCATAAGGCCTGTGTAGTTCAATCTGAAGCCGCCGATGCCATGCCAAAATATCATCAGTGATGACGTAGACAGCGTGTCGTTTCTCGTCTTCACGTAGGGTGTTTGTACCACAGGTTATGATTCCGCGGGCTTTTCCTTTATGCAAAACTTGGTTTCACTACATTAATTAATATTCTGAAACAACTCTTTCTCGTTTTTGGTAATCGCCGCCATATTGGTTTTCAATTGTTTTCAACCATTGTCGACGTCATAACTAAGTTTTCAGCTGTTTAAACAGCCTACGTCAAGGCGAGAAACGCCATGCTGCTTACGTCACAACTGGTTGTTTGGCTAAGGGGGGTAGAGGGGGATTTTTTACAAACAGGCCTTATGAGGATAAGCCATCCTGTAGTAATAGTAGTGTGTATCATCCTTGGATATATGTACCTACTTATTTCCGCACGTCTGTAAAAAACCTATTGTACCTAACACATGCGAAAAATCTGTCTTCCGAACTTGGCTGCTTCACCGAATTCCGCTACGCGTCTTTGGGTGATGAACGACAGACTCGTGCGGAAAAATTCATTTTTCGCACTTGTTAGGTAAATATGTTCTGTACTACCAACAAATAACGAAACCGAACTCTGATAGCGAATTCCATTGGAATAAAGGTTAGTGCGCACCGAGTGTATTCGTATCTTATTCTACCAGCTTATATAAGAAAGAGATAAAAATACACTCTTTCGCACTGATTTTACCAATGGAATTCGCTTTGAGAATCGCCTAAAACTTTTCAATTATAGGCATAGCGAATTCTATTGGTAGGATTAATACAAAAAATTTATTTATCTCTTTCTTATGCAAGCTAGTAGAGAAAGATATGAATACACTCAGTGTGCACTATCCCTTTGAATAGAATTCGCTATAAATGGCATGCGGGCAGTGCGGACACTGTGCAAACTAGAAAACAAGTTAGGGCCAGTTGCTGAAAAGTAAAAATATAAAAAATAGATTTATTTGTAAGGTGTAGGGTACATTTTTTTCGTCCATCGTAACGATCTTGGGGGAGGTAATTACCCCCATTACCCCCCCTTGTATACGCCGGTGGACACTTATAGCTCTGTTCCAACCATCAACCGACATGAGAACCGTTCTACAACGGTTATTTCCAGTCGCGGTTCTCATGTCGGTTAGGTTAGAA